ATCCCAATGACCCCAAACTGTGTGCCTGTGTCCCAGTGTGACATCCCACAGCCCCCAGGCTGCTCACCCACCTGTGGGCTGTCCCCCGAGGCTGAAGGGCGCTGCTGCCGGGGTGGCAGCTGCCAGGGTGGCCGTGCTGGTGGTGGCAGCAGCCGCGGGGGCCGTGCCAAAGCTCAGCCCTGCCGACGTGGCCTGCGGAGCCGCGGTGCCGATGCTGAACCCGCCTGTGCCCGCCTGAGCCGTGCTGCCACTGGAGAAGGTGAAGCCTCCTGTTGTCCCAGAGGGAGCCGTGCTGCTGCTGCTGCTGGCAGCAGAGCCAAAGGCAAAGCCAGACGAGGCTGCTGCCTGACTCGAGGGTGTGCTGGTTGCCACAGGGGTGCCAAAAGAAAAGCCCCCCGTGATTCCAGGAGCTGGAGTGGCAGTGCTGGCTCCAAAGGTCACTTTGGGAGTGTTTGCCCTAGGGAGGAAAAGAAAAGAAAAAAAGCAATCCCACTTGAGACACACATCCACCCAAGTACACAGCTGGCTTTCTCCCTGACCATTTGCTGACAGCAGAAACCTTCTTTCAGAGAGATGCACACCTGGCCAGGCTTGTGTCCCAGTTCTGACAACAGACTCCATCCAGCTGCTGTCACCTGCCATCCCCCCGTAGGGCTCTTCCTACTGACTGTCCCTTCACTACCTCCACGCACCCCGGTGCCACAGGGCATTTTAGGGCAGCACACGTGCAGCTGCTCCTTCTCTCAGCTCACCGTTTCCACTCCCGCTACACAAGGCTGGTTTTTTCCTGCTCGTCCCCATTTGAGCTCCCTTCCCACAGCTCCCATCTGGCAAGCTTTGCCAGCAGCACTTCTGCAGAACCGCTCCAGAACTCGCAGCCTTTGCTGAACGGCAAATCCCTCCCAAAGCGCCGGGAAAGCATTCTGAGCACTCCAGATTCGGGTCAGAAAGAACGAGACGTTTGCTATCCGGCAGCAGAGCTTGAGCATTTCTGTGCGCTCGCGTCTCCAGCCCAGTCCCAGCCGGAAAGGCGGAACATCTGCTCGCCCACAGCGGGAGCGCTGCCCATGCAAGCACCGGCCGGGGCAGTGCCCGGGCTCGCGGGGCACCCGCCCGATGAGCGATCACCGCAGGGGCTGGGAGAGCCGGGCACAAGGGCCAAGGCTCGCTCCGAGCAGCTTTCCCCGCAGAGCCCGGCACCCACAGGACCCCGCTCCCTCCGTCCCTCTGCCCGTCCGTCCCCGCCCGGCCCCGGCTCTCACCCCAGCGGGAAGGCGGCGGCTGCCGGGGCGGCGGGGGCCGCGCTGGCCGAGCCGAAGCTGAAGCCGGAGGGCTGCGCGGCCGTGCCCGGCCTGTTGAAGGAGAAGAGCCCGGCGGGCTGGCTGCCGCCCGCCGCCGGCGCCGCGCCGCCGAAGCTGAAGCCGGTGGAGGCGGGGGCGGGCGCCGGCGCGGAGAAGGAGAAGCCGCTGGTGGCCGTGGTGGCGGCGGGGGCGGCTCGGGGCGCGCCCAGGCTGAAGGCGCCGCCGGGCGCGGCCGCCCCGAAGCTGAACTGGCTCATGGCGCGGCGGCGGCACGTACCTGCCAATACACGTCTCATTCAAACAGGCAATATTAGGAACTTTTTTTAGTGCCTGCTTTCTTTGATCACCGCCTGACCTCTTTTTTCCTGTTTGAAGTAACAGCCTTTCATTCCAGAGGAATCTGTCCGTTTCAATTAGGTAATTTTTAGAGAATTGCATGGGTTTTACTTAAATTGGCTGATTGGCTTACATTCCAATGGCAAAACTTCTGATAGAAAAATTAATTTCCTGTTGAGAACTTCTGACCTGTTGCAGAACATGAAGTTTTGCTTCCTTACCAAAAAATTTCAGCTTAAATGCTAAGCAGGAAGAACTGCTAGAGTTTGGACAACTATCTGGATATTACTGCAGGAAAATTCTTTTCTCTGATCAACAAATTCCAGGGTGGAACCCGTTCATATAGCTTGATGGCTGTTAGCTGTTGAAGTTCAGCATTCCATAAAGCCAGATAAGATAGCCTTTATCATTAAGTAGAAAGGAAGCCAGCTGGCTCTGGAGGCCAAGAAGTAAAATTTTATAACTTAGAGACCAGATAATAAAGGTACTTCTCAACAGAGAAGGAAGCAATGCCAAAGCTAGCAGTGTTGTAGAGGATGGAGACCTATGAAGATGTTGGAAAGGTCAGTGAAAACACCTGTGCAGTGCTTGTGGCTGCCAGAAAAATGATAGCTACATTTCTGTTCTAAGCCCTACATGCCGGATTTTTACCTTGTGCTTCAGGACACCAATGCAAATGGACAGTGGTGCCTAGAGAGAACTTCTCCTAACACTGTTTCCTTGTAACTCCTGACTGTGCTGCTGCCTTCCCTTGGAATCAGCTGTTCCTAGCGCTCTGTGCTGCACACAAGGGTTAACTGCATTTCTCTGTGCACTCCTCGGGGATTACCCCACCTTCTCAGGTGCCCTTGGGTCAGAGATACCAGGCTCTGCAAGCAGAACAGTGCTGAGGACTCTGCTCCACTGAGGTTGGAGGTATCAACAAGGTCAAGTTGACCTGCATTCCATACCAAAATGACTCCTGTGGAGAAAAAAAAGACAGGTTATTGTCACATGGACTCACTTCTGGGGGGAACAGAAGGCCCAGTGTATGCACATTGGAAACAAGGACAGGTTACACAGGAAAAATAGGGAGATGCTGTTCAACATTTTATGTGGCCAGAGCTTCATTAGTGTTCAAGCTTGCCAGTGCTGTGAAAGACAGGAAAAAGGACTTGTTAAAACATGCTAACAGCAAAAGGAGGTTCAGAGATAACATCAGTCTACACTTTATGAGGCCAGACACCTCACAAACAGGGACATGGACAGAGCAGAGATGTTTAATGCCCTCTTCACCTCTGTCATTAGCATCAGATGGGCCCTGAACCCCTGGAGCTCTGTGTTGGAGGACTGTGATTAGGGGCACGAAAAACTCCCAGCCACAACTGAATGTGTTTGAGGCTTGCTGCTCCAGCTGGATGCACATAAATCTTTGGGGCACGATGGGGTTAATCCCAGGGTACTGAAAACGCTGGGCCTGTCATCACAGGATCTCTCTCCATTATTTTTCAAGTCTTGGGAGCCTGGAGAGGTCCCTGCACACTGGAAGCTGGCCAAAGTTCTAGTTTTCAAGACGAGCAAGAAGAAAGACCCTGGTATGTACAGTCCTGTCAGTCTCACTTCAGTGCCTGGTAAAAGAGAGTTATTTTTCTGGGCATTATTGAAAATCACTTGAGAGACGACACAGTCTTTTGGCTTCCAGCAAGGAGCAGGTTTCTGGCTGAGAAAATTCCTCTGGATAAGTCTCTCATTCTTTTTACGTTTTGGGATGGGAGGGAGGGTGAGAGCTGAGTTTATTTATAGATGTATGTGTGTTTGTGTTTCCAACTGCTCTCTTTCACGCTGCAGGAGCCCTCGGTGTCCTGGCAGAAGGAGGTGACCCGCTCCCACACGGTGGCACTGCTGGCCTGGCTGTGTCCCGCACGTGTCCCCACTGCCTGCCCAGGGAAGGGTCCCTCAGAACGGCCCTGTGGACCTTGGCATCTCACAGAATCCCAGAATCGTGGCCCTCTGCCGCTGGTTGGTGCATCACAGAGCTATCTGGGTCGCCTTCTGCTCCTCCTTGCGGGATTTTGGTGAAGGGGAAGGGTGCTGGGTCAAAAGAGCACTGAAAAAACCGTGTGGGGAGAGCAGTCCTGCTCATCCCTCGCTGGCTCGGGCGCTCATGGGGCCAGAGCCCTCCTGTTGCTCCTGTTTTCCCTCCCTCAGCTCCCCCCCAGGCCCCTCTTGTTTCTCCTCACTGCTGCCATGCTGAGCCACTTTTCCAACAGAAGCTCCATCAATGCCTTTTCCCTCAAAGCCTGTTCATCTCTCCCAGCACCCCTATAATTCCTCCATGCTCTTTTTTCCTCCTGTGCTTTTCTTTGTGCCCACATTCCTTTCCTCTTTGCCCAGTGCTGCCTTTGAGGCCTGGGCCAGAGCACAGACTGGCAGGTGGGGTGGCCTTTCCTTTCCTGAAGCCAGGCTTTGGATTCTCTCATAAATGGGGCAGGTATCCAGGGCTCTGTCAGGTGCAAGGTCTGGTTGTGTTTCTGGACAAACAGCTGTGGCCTTGCAGGGCCAGCATGGCTCTCCTGTGGCCATGCTGGACTCTCCTTGTGGCTAACACCCTGCCTGGCTCGGGCTGCGCTTGGTTCTGGCCCTTCCACACCGTGAGGCACTCGGCCATCCGTGGGTCTGATCAGCCCACGCAGCTGCTAAACTGGGTCCCTGCCTGTGTTTTCCTCCAGAGCGTGACTGTCTGTTTGTTAAATAATGTAGCGACACGAGGTTCCTTGAACTCAATTTATCTTCCCGTGTAGCCATGGGAACAGCCGGCAGGGTGCTGACGCCGGGCTTGCCTCAGATCTGCTGCAAGGCCCTGGCTGAGCCTGCCTGGGCCCTGCTCCTTCCATCCTCAACCGAGGCTCTCCTGCCCGGCAGCTTCGCGTCTTTAGGCTCATCTTTGACTCTTCTTCTTCCAGCAGCATGGCTGTGCTTTAAACCTGGGAAATGTCGAGGATGATGGGGAGTTTGCAGGAGGATGAGGGGTTTGGGAGAAGCCAGATTGACAGAGGGGAGAAGTTGCACCCAAAAGATGCAACTCCCCGTGCTGCCTGCAGTATGTGGCTCATGGAAAGAAAATAAAGGCAAGTGCAAATAGTTCAATATTGTTCAAGCCTGAGCTCGTTTCCAGTGCAGAAGCATCTTGAAACCTGATTTCCTCCTTTTTACCTTAAAATGACTGGCTCCAAGGAGCTGAGGAGAGCTCACCCTTACAGTCACACATTCCCTGTCCCTCCTGAAGTACATTCTCTCGCCCAGGCCCTGGGTATGGAGGAGAGGGTGTGTGGGTGGCCAGCCCAGCATCACTCCTTTGACTCAAACTCTTCTTTTTACCTGGAAAGGCATGAGACCATGTGACAGAAACCAGTGCTTAGGTGATATCACCAAACAGTGTGCTGGGTGCGTTGTCTGAGAGTCAGAGTTGAGCAACGCAGTGATGTGGACAGAGATCCCCCGTCCTGCATGCTGAGGGTTGTGCCACATCATTTCCCCCAGGGCTGCACTTACAGCTTACCACAGAAGGGGCTTTCACTGTTGCTACTGCAGGCAGAAAGGACATGTCTATACAGCTGTGGGGTTTTTTGCAGTCTGTAGGACCTGTGTCTGTGTCTATCATTTCTGATTTCCTGCTTGGTTGAATCCTGTTTCATTTCCAGCTCATCTTTTGAGATTTCAGAGCTGTTTCTGTGACCTCTCTTGACTTTTTCAGATTGTATTGTTTACTGTGTTTCCAGGTCAGTGCTGCAGGTGGGAACACTTGAGATCGAAGGTATCTCCCTTATCTCCCTTCATTCATGGTTTGAAAGTAGCATTTCTTACCTTCATTCATTGTTTGGTGTTTTTCTTCTGACACCTCTCCAGCCGGTACTCAAACCACAGGCCTACATCCCAATCATATTCAATTTCCAGTAGAGCTGTTGAGGAGATTGAATCTGTACCAGGACATTGCATTGAGCCAGAGTTTTACTTTAGCAGCGTTTGGGATGCTTGCACCAGTTTTTATGGTTGCATGAAATATATTTTCTGAAGTACAAAATAGCCAGTGATCTTGAAAGCATCCATGCTTCTGACCATTCTGGGAAGTTTTATCCCAAAAGCCAATCATCCTTTGAAACATCTACCCTGGGTGGGTGAAAAGACAGACCTTTATTTTCTTCTCCAAAGCTGCTTCTAAAGCAGGAAATGTCCACACCTCCTTCAGACTTGATCTCAATGTTCTTCACGGCACATATGCGTAATCTTAGCTGCTGCTGCTCCTCCTCTTTGCATCTTTTTTTATTCCCTCCCATTTAAGTAGCTCTATGATCTGAACTTTATCCCTAACATGCTTGACCTTATTTTTCAGAAGATTATTCACAGACATCCCCAGAGTTTTTCATAGCGTGTGTCAAGCCCTTGGGCTAAAACCTGTCTCCTGGTTTATTCCTGCCACACAGGGAAAGGAGAACATGTTTGAGTGATTGTCATGGTTTAACCCCAGCCAGCAACTCAGCCCCACGCAGCCGCTCACTCCCTCCCCGCCAGTGGGATGGGGGAGAGAATTGGAAAAGTGAAAGTGAGAAAACCCGTGGGTTGAGATAAAGACAGTTTAATAACTAAAGCAAAAGTCGTGTATGCAAGCAAAGCAAAACAAGGAATTCATCCACTGCCTCCCATGGCAGGCAGGTGCTCCAGGAAGGCAGGGCTCCATCAATTACTTGGGAAGACAAACCCAGAATGTTCCCCCTTCCTCCTTCTCCCCCAGCTTTGTGTGCTGAGGGTGATGCCATAAGGTCTGGGATATCCCTGGGGTCAGCTGGGATCAGCTGTCCTGGCTGTGTCCCCCCAGCTCCTCCCTGGTGAGGGTGAGGAGCAGGACAGGCCCTGGCTGTGTGCAATCCCTGCTCAGGAGAGCTCAAACACCCCTGG